ACTGGGGGTGAGGCTTCTCGCAGCGCATGCACAAGTGAAGACCGAAGCGACAAGCTTTGCCAGCCTCAGCATGGCTGCACCCCCTGTCTTTGATGTTGTATGCCCAACAAAGTCGCTTGCCTTTCGAGGTCTTCTTCTTAAGGTTTGGAATGTTCTTGAGGGCATCAGGAAGCTGGGACTCTTTTCGAGGCTGGCCTTCAGAGTCCCTGTTGGTACCTTTATCAAGGCCCTTACCATTGCCCCTATCCGGATTCGGGGTCTTCTGAGGAGGATCAGGCGACCTCAAAGGAAGGAGGTTGAACAAGACAGCAGGGTCAGTGCGAAGACCCGGGAAGGCAGCATCAAGAGGCAACACGCCGGCACTATCCCTCTTAAGCGTCTTAACCGTCTCAGCCAACTGAACCCAAGCTTGACGATCAGCCCTCAACAATTGTTCCATGGAAACTTTGCTGCACCTCGGAGGAGGAGGCTGAGCCATGCGATCGAACAGAAAGCGGTGCCAAGATTCTTGCACCTGGAAGCTGATGGCACCCATAAGGTCACAGGCTAAGCTCCGACGTGTAAGAGCCTGCCAGAGTTGAAGCTCATTGGTGATCTGGCAACGATCACGACTCTGCTGATCACGAACAGTGAGCTTGGTGCCCCCATCGAGCACGATTTCACGCTTGGGCTTTTCTCTGCAAACCTCCTGTTGCCTGGTGATGAACCTATGGGGCTCCAAGTAAATTGGCGAGTCGGCTTCAAGCATGGAGCCCACAAGAGTGTAGCAGGAATATGCGCACTCCATCGCGCCGGTTAACTCAAAACCGACAAGCCTGGTCTTTTGAGCCGCAATGCGGCTGGTGCGTTCAGCAGGCGGGAGGTCGTACTTCTTGTCTCCCTCATGCCCTTCGACTGAGAGCTTAAGTTGCTGCACAACACAAGTCTGGCACTCAAACACACAGCGTCGAATGGATGATAAGGCGCCAACTGAAACAGCTTCAGGAGTGGCAGTATCCAAAAGCTGACGAAGGGCAAGCTCCGTAGGTTGCACACCCGGGGTGGTGACAGCATAGGCCAATGACGACATCGTCGAGACACCTTTCCCTTTCAGGATCAGCAGCTGTGCACTTGAAAGGCCACATTCCGTGGCAAGTTCTTCAAATGCCGCCTCAGATTTCAGCAGGGACATGGCTGATACTACACGATCCTAGAGCCCAAGCTTCGTGAACGATGCGATGGCTCCGAAGAGGAAGTGGCGAAAAGCCACACAAATCAGCAGCAACTCTTGAGACTGCTCCCGAGTAATGGGTGACAAACCCATGCTCCGAAGAGGAAGTGGCGGAAAGCCACGCACTTTAGAAGCAACTCCCGAGACCGCTTCTGAAAGATGGGTGTCAAACCCACGCAGCGGGAAGCCGCTCATAAGAAGATCTCTTCAGGATTCAAGTGAAGTAATACTTCGCACAAGAAGAAGGGTGACAAACCCGACTATGAAGTCGCACCGGTCAGTGGAAGCGGCGGAAAGCCGCGCGCAACAGTCAGCATGCGGAGGCAGATGAGTGACAAACCCAGTCACGGATTTCTTTTCTCAGCAGCCGACAAGGCGCGTCAGGTTTAGGCAGTGAGGTGCCCAACACATTGCCATTTTTCCTTCTGAAGGAAAGTTAGCATAGCACGTTAAAAGAACTTTGACGCCGAAGGCCCAGCGCACTGGGATGTCAACGCTTGCCCAAGGCAGCATCAAGCGCACCGACAAGGGCGCCGGTGTTGCTAATCGGCTTTCTCTGAGCGCATTGCTTGCAATCCCAAGCAGTGATCTTGACCAAGGTCCTGAAGGGGCGATGGTCTTTGGTGAGAGGCCTGCCACAGACAAACTTATCATCGCTCGAGTTTTCAAGCATGCGATGCACAGTCTTTGTCCTGCAATGCTGGTAAAGCTTGCATCCCTCCACGACGTGATGCCTCAATCTGCATGCTAAGTCGCTTGCTGCCTGGACCTTTTCATCAGCACTTGAAGAGCTCGAAGAAGAGCTGGAACTCGAACTCGATTCAGAGTCTGAACCGCTGCCATCTCGGTCCCCCTCCACATGGGGATCATCAGAAGCCCCCGTTTCGGGCGGAGGGTCTGAGAGACCCCAGGGCTCAAGCTCACTGCCACGGCTCGCGTTGAGGAAAGCATCGATGTCGGCATCCTCCAGCTCTTGGTTGCGGTACCACGCCAACTCCTCATCAGGGCCAACCTCGCTGCCCATGTTCACAGGCTCTTGGACCTCACCTAAGGCGCCGAGGTAGAGGTCAGGGCTGAGGGCCCCATCAGAGAGACCAGGAGGAGCATCAAGGGCCGGCTCCACTCCTGGATCATCGACTTGACGGACAAAGCGGCCAGAGCGTGTGCAATCAGGAAGGAAAGCTCCAGACCGAACGTCACATAGAAGAGACCACAGCACTCTCAAAGGCCCAGCCTGAAGATCTCTGCTGTAAGTGGCTACGCTTTTGCTCTTAGGCATGTGATGCCCAAGAATGGCCCTGTCATCCTCAGAGCCGCCCCATTTGGCCAACCAAGGAAGTAAGGTAGACTTTGCTGTGTGGCCGGTGAAGTGACCTCCGAAGAAGGGGAGATCCTTAAGGATGCCATTGATCCACACCACGAAGGCTTCATTCTTGATTGGGTGGTTGAGCAAAGAGCCCACAGACGTGGGCACACACAACAGCGCGGAACCATCGTCCTTCTGAAGAAGGTCTTGATCCACTTGCCGTGCAACCTCCAAGAAGTCAAGTCCCCAGATGCGAGGCCCCAGTCCTTTAACGTGAGCCACAAGAGGCAACCTGAAGCCGAGCGCATTGCTAAGAGGCTTAGTCTTATGGCTATAAGAGTAACACTCCAAGAACCCTTCGGCGCAGTCTGCAGATGGTTCTGCAAGGTCAAGCGTGAACCTTGACACGGACTTCAAGTCGCCTAACCTCGCCCTGGCAAAAATTGCAAAGAGCATGCAACCAGCGGCAAACCGGTCCAAAAGCGCATTGGATTCGGATGCAAGGAAACCCTCGAGGTGAAGCACTTCTGCAACGAGAAACGAGCGAGCCTGCTTCCTGGGAGGCTTGTTCAATCTCTCGCGACGAGCACGTCCTGTCAGGACCGGGTCAGACCGGAGAGGCTCAATAATGAAAACACCAAGGACATAGATCGCAAAGTCGAAAGACTCAAGGTTGCTGGACACTGATCCATGCCCTTTGGTCTTCACTGCAAACTCGGTGTATTGCCGAACAAGATCCGAAGAAAGGGGGAAGCCTATGCATCCTGTGTCGTTGCACCAAGTGACGTACTTGGATAATTGCCCGTACCTTTTCTGGAGGGTAGACAGGGCTTTACCCCCAAGTGCATCCGAGACAAGTTGCGTTCCCTTCTCAAAAGACTCCTTGGCAAGTATCCCCCCTAGCCTAGAACCCGAATAAGAGTGCGAAAGCAACACATGGAACCTCTGGCAAAGCAGCTCACGTTTATCAAGAGGGCTGATCGGAGCCTTCACCACTCTGACCTTTTGAGAAACGGCTTTAAAGAAGCTGCAGGATCGAGGCTCCGGCTTTGCGAGCTTCTCCGCTTCACCCAGGCTCGAAGCTGAAGAAATGGGAATATCAAAAGGAAATTTCACTGACGGAATGCTTGGGGCAGCATGCTCCGGGCAGAATATCTCTTTAAGAATGCCTGACTCCCAGGGCAGCTCCAGATCACTGGAGCCAGCGACACTGTGTCTGGACTCAAGCAGCATACGATCTATGCTCTTAAGGAGGTCAGAGCGAGACCCTGGGCCTGATGATGAAGCTGAAGTCGAGGAGCCCCCAGCAGAAAGAGACTGAGGCTGCATGTTGCCAAGTTTTCTGCAAAAGATGCCTTCCTAGGCCAGCCTGCGGCAGCAAAGCCTGAGCAGGCGCAAGAAGCCTTCCAGCAAGCTGACCCGTGCCTGAGTTTGTTGTGCCTGAGTTTCCAAGAGCTCCAAACGATCTTCAAGCACTCGCACTCTACTCTCCACAATGTTGCATTCAAGCTGAAGAGTGTGGAGATGTGAGCTTATCGCTTCCCAGGCGGAGCCAGAGGAACTGCTGGCACTGGAAGGCTCAGAGAGAGGCAAATCAAGAGGCCTCGTTCCCATCTGGCACCCCTTCGGGGGGCACCGTGCACGAAGCTAAAGCCTTGAAGTTAGCAGCTCGAACCTCGCTAGAAAGAAGCGACGGGACTCTAGAGGCCTCACTCGAAAAGCGAACTGAAGCCGAAAAGGCGACTGGAAAAAAGAGCTTGGGAGAAGTTCGGCATGAAAAAGGATGGAAAACAACCAAGGTTGGAAAAACCAAGTTGTTGAAAACAAGACTTGAGAATAAAAATCCGTCCTCCTTCGGAGGAAGTTCTTCAGGGCTGGGCGGGTGGGTACACAAATGAGTCCCCCCCTCCCCTTTTGGACTCCGCAGAGCCGAGCCCAAAGGTTCGGACGAATGTTGATTGTCATCTGTTCCTCCAGCAGGAGGGAACAACAACCGCACATGAAAAATTCATGTAAAACAAAACACTGTGTGACATGAAAATCAATCCATAAAAGAGTCGAAACTCGACTCAGCAAATGGAAAGCATTTTCGATATTGGCACATGAAAATGTGAGCAAGTTATGTTTCTTAATCTCATTCTGATGGACAAGTCCACCTCACGAGATTACCAACATAACTACCCGCCCACAAGTTCCCGCCCAAGTGCAATAGAATATTGCAATAAAAAGGATTATAAAAATCCGAGTTGGCAAACTCTGACATGAGACTGTTCGCACTGACAAGAAGCGAGCAACATGACTGAATGCAATGCGCGAGCTCCACATGTTTTCACGCTGCCGTGCAACGATTGTCGAAAGAGTGCACGAAAGAGGAAGGGAGGAGAGAAGCATAGTCGATGCAATGCTCCGTCACACACGTGTTGTGCCAACTGCACCCCACGTCTGTAATAGAACTCTCCCCTCTCAACGAGTGACAGTGGCACATCACTTCCAGGGATCCTTCTCGCGCAACCGTTCAGCCTTCTTAAGCTTGGCAGCGGCTTTGGATACCCGCTTCTCTTTCCACTCAGCAATCTCACCATACATCGCAGAGCCCGCTTGCAAAAGAGGCCTGAGAACCAGACCTTGATATTCGGCAAATGAAAATCGTAACCTCAGCTTTGGATCGAACTGCTTGAAATCTCCGTTAGTCAGAGAGTCAGCCAGCATGTTCTGAAGGCGTGGTGCCCACGTGAGCTCGAGCATGCACGACTTCTCAAGGAGCACAGCAGTTAAATCCATCAATACTGCCACCAATGGAAATGAAGTTGTGAGCCAACGCGAGACAATGTGCGAATTGCCCTTATTGTCTGTCCCCGCTGAACAGACTGTCCGCGAAGGGCCCGCTCCCGTAGGAGCGAAGAGCAACACCGCCACCATGGTGGCCAGAAGTTCGAGGGATGCTATGGAACGGTAAGACTCCCCCGCCATAAAGAAGAGAGGAGCATCTTCAGGTTTGATCCGCTCGGCAAACCATCGGCACCGACGAGGATCGTCGGAGTCTGCACATGACCACCCTCCAATATGCATCTCTGGCCCCTCTGCTCTAGCATCCGTCCTGAAGAGCTCCGGAGCCGACTCAGACGAATGTTGAGCAACCTTCGTGACCCTAAGACCTTTTAGCAGCAGCGCCTCCACGAAAACCAGAACCAAGTCGACGGCCTTGGGGAGTCGCAAAGTGTGGCACTGAGACACTGCACTGGTCCAAGCGTACAGCGGCCCCAGGAAGGGTCTCAGCATCGGAAGGACCGTGAAAGCGAATGAGAGGCGGCCCAACACGGATTGCATGTCGGCCACTCGCACCATGCCGTCGGCCCTGGTCTTACGGATCCAGCCGACGATCCAATCAGTCCTTGACTGGCTGATGCCAATCGTCCTCCCGAAAGCGAACACCGAGAATCCGATCCAGCCATGCTCAAGTCCCCCGGCGAACTTATGCCAGGCAAATGGTGTCCCCAGTACCTGAAGCAATAAGATGGTCGCCAAGATCTTGATCAGCCCGTCTCCGGACTGGGTAAGCCATATGAGGTCGTCCACATAGCTCAGGAGAACCGTCGGGTCGCCCTGTAGACAATAGTACAGAAGTCTGCCCAGTCCCGACATGAGTCTGTACCACCAGTAGGAAGCTGAAGCGATGCCGAACGTCCCCACGCAGTTGTAGTATACTTTCTTTGGGTTTGACCCGCGACAAGCTTGCCGGGGCCAGTCCCGCTCCTGCACAAGGTAAAGACGATGAGCTCTGCTGATGTCACCGCTCAGGGAAAAGTAAGCATGTGGCAAGATTTCCACGGCAGTTTGAAGATCAGCGCCCGTAGGATATCGTTGGGCATCCCGGACACGGATGCAATCGTTGACATGCTGCCCATTGCTGCCGTCATGCACGATCCTCAGAGAGCCGTCTGGCTTGGGCACCGCCCCAAGCGATGCGACAGACACGGAATCACCATGTTTCGCCCGGGCCTCCCCCAAGTCGAGCGCGATCATCGCCCCCAGGCTCATCTCCTTGGCGAGCTGCTCGTCAAGCTGGACGGGGTTGTCTCGCGCCCCGGGATAGTTTTCGCGAAGGCCGTCTTCAAGCGGAGTGTCAGCATCGGGGTACTTCCTGTGCTTGCACTTCCCCTCGAAAAGTGCAGTCCGAGGTAGACGCTCCCTACCCCGATCGGAACCCCTTTTGCGAAGGACACGGATGAAGAAGCATATTGTCTCCAGTCCGGGTCTCCAGCTGCCCTCAAGAGCTCCCCAATGGCCTCGAGGTAGAAAGGCCGTCGGGGAGTCACATGTTCGAGCTCTTTCGTGGAGCCCCAGTCCCTCGCCGCTGGAAAACAAGCGAGCGCCACCATCGAATCAGGGAAAGGCGAAGACGTGGCCCTCCCCGTTGCCAAGCGACAGATTTCTTTCCTCACGTCGATGTGTTTCTGGAGCATGCGCAGAGCGTCCTCGAAAATCTGCCCGTGTAAAGAAATGTCCGGATGCGTGACACTCGTTGGCCAGGAGGTCCAAAGCCGAGTAAGCCTTCACCTAGCTTTGCCTTGGGAACGCCATCGACATCCTCTTCAGAAGTTGAGCCACCCTCCTCCTCGTCGTCCTGGTTGTCGGGTTTAGGCCTCCACCACTCATCGTCCTTCGGCACGGCATCATCGTTGTTGTCCTCCAGGATGCGCTTCACCGCGCGTGGCAAGGATGCAACCCCCGGCTGGGGTGGCAAATTGAACCCCAGCTCCTCCAGAAACCTCCAGTCGGCCGAAGGAAAGGAGGGATTCACCCGAGGAGTGTATGCCACGAGTACGGTTCTAGTTCCTTCCCAAGCCTGCGTGCAGTGCCAAGCGGTGGGATCGAAGCAAGCGTGACAGCCATCATCTAACTCGAGAGTATGTCCCAAGCCTAATGAGGGATTCGAAGGGCACGGTTCTTGACCTCCGCCATCCTGAGTCCAGATGCCCCCGCCCCGAAAGGACGTGAGCCCTGCCACGAGATTTCTCGATCCTCGCTCATTGCCTGTATCTCGATGCGGGGCCGTCTGAAGGTTGCGAAAAATCGCAATGGCAGAGAATGTAATGCTCGCGTCCAATCCCCGAACGAACCTACACAAAACCCTAACCACCCCGGGAAACAACCTGGAGTTCCTACGAAGGCCGGCCAGGCTACCGCCCACGGCATAAGCCCCGACAGCAAAAGATTTCGAATCCTTCCAAGTGACACCATCTCGGGCCAATTCTTCGCCGGGAAGCAAGTCGAAGATCTGAAGCAAAGACTCCTTCGAGACCGCCGAGTGTTGCAAGCGCCCTGCCAGAGCCTCAGCCTGATGGACCACCGCTGTCGAAGTCGCATTCTCAAGAGTGTCTGAAGAACGAGCTTGCTCCTCCCCCAACACCGATTCGGAGGACACTCTTTGCCTGAAGGTGAGAACCGCAATACTGGCCAGCGCCTCACAGAAGCCCGAAGGGTAAGCAGCCGGCCCGGCGAGAAAATGACCATTTTCGTCGGTGCCGATGAGAGGGGCGTGTGCATGACCGCATTTGCGAGACAACGGCCCTCGATAGTGCTGCTGAGGGTCGAGTCGCGGCCAACCGGATACACCAACCGATCGTAGACCGTGCCAGGTTCCAGCTAATCGTGTCGGCCGCCTCTGAGCGGCGCCGAAGGCACAAAGATGAAGGGCCACCGAAGTGGCGCGAGTCTCCTGGAAAACACGAACAGCTTCTTCCCAAGTCCAGATCGAAGCCGGGGTACCAGCCGCTGTAGCACCCAAAAATTCCGGATGCTCGATCAACCAGGGTACATGCTCCTTGGTGGCCAGGGTGGCTAAGGACAATACCCGGCGCACCAAACTCGTTCCAGCTTCTGCCTTGGATTTCCATACACCGGATAGCCAGGGAAAACCTTCCGGCCAGTCCGAGTTCCGCAGAGGCGGCGGTCCTGTGCGATTGACGAACGTGGCCCGGTTGAATGTAGAATATGGCGGGCTCATGAAAAGAAGATTGAATTCATGTCGTCGAACTTGATTGAGCAATCTCAACCAAAAAGAATCTGAAAGAACATCCGGAGCCGATTCCCCGATATCAACTTCTTGATAGCGGAATGACAGCCCGGCTTTCTCGCAGGCAGCCGCCAGGAATGATTTCAAGTCAGCCCGGCGAGACTCTCCCGCGAAGAGATAGAGGAAAGAAATGTCGGATTGTGGAGGAGAATCGAGTCCTTGAGAGACGTTCTCCTCGGTGTCGCCGCCGTCCGAGAGTCAGTTAGATGCTGTAGCCGCCTCCGGACGACGAACTTGCGTGCAAGCATGATAAGGGTGTTTGCCGAGACAACGTTGACATACATGAAGGAAGCGACAGGCGCTGTTCTTGCACCCTTCTTTCCGGTTGAACTTCCAACAAATTGGTTTGCCATCTGGAGTCTTCATGAGCTTGGCAGCCTTCTTGCCAGGGGCCTCCTCGGCTGCTGCAGCAGCCAATGCACGTTTCAGGGCTTTGCCTTTGCCCTTTCCCTTGGACTCGCGCTTCCAGTCTGCCGGAACAGACGGGGGAGGCGGCACGGCCCGAAGCGAGAAAGGGATGACAAGATGTCGATTGAGAAGCTCCATATCATGCATGGCCTTTGTAAAGGCTTCCTCGATAGTGCCCACCTCGCCGTCCCTGATCCAGCGATAGAGGGTTTTGCGAGCTTCGAGCTCGAAGCTTAAGACGAGCTCCCAAGTTGGAGTGTGCCCGTCACCAGCCACCAATCCAGCAACTTGTGAGCCCAACACATAATCACTGAACCTCCGCAGGACATCTGTGGAGTTTCTAGACAGCCAGGGCCTGAGAGCATGCTTGGTAGCCAAGAAGTCCCAAGCTAGCCCGATGCGTCTGTGGCGCAACCGCAGCTCCTCAGGATTGTTGGGCATGCCAGTAAGGGTCTTCCCAGGCTTTATTTTAAGCACGTTGGTAGTAGGATCGATCACCGCCGAGTACGCCTCAAGTTCTGAATCCTCGAGAGACGCCACTTCGGTAAGCAGCTCGGCTACCGGCTGATTGTTCTCGATCTGCTCTAGCTTGGCCGCTAGCAAGGACTTGGCAGGAACCTCCTTGTCCTTCAACTTCCCGAGCGATGCTTCAACTGCCAGCCGCATGGCATGATGCTCACTAGGCTGCACAAGTCGCTGCTGAGTCCCCAGCCGCGCTTCAGCTTTGTTTCTCTCCGAAACCTGCAAGTGAAGCCTGGATGCTTCCCAAGCCGCCAATAGGCGTGCAACCACGAGCCGCTCTGCAACCCCAGCTGTAGGATCAATGGGCAACTCCGCAATCAGTGCAGCTCTCACCCGCTCCCGAGACTCATCTAGCCCCGAGAACAATGCCACATCGCGGATCCCCAGTTCTCCCAGCCTAGCCTGCCACACAGCCGGAACATCCGCCTGCTCAAGCTGGAACCTGAGATCCGGCCCCAACGTCTCCAAGTGCCCTCTCTGCGCGGCCGTCAGAGCAGCCGGCGCCGCCATGAGACGCAAGGAAAGACCTAAAAACCCAAGGCAGGACAAACTCAATTCAGCAACGCACCCTGGTTGAACCGTCACCGGCGAAACCTTTGTGCTGATTTCCGATCTCACCATGCTGATGCGATCACTCGCGCACGCACCGAAGTTTGTCAGGCCTGACACCCTTCCCTCGCGTCGCAGTACACTGTGCATTCAGGAGCCTAGCCGCGCAATCCTGCGAAGCAACTCCGAAGCGCCCTCACAAGCTCAGTGACACGAAGCTCCAGGCCCGATACTCTATCGGCCAGCCCGAAAAAGGCTCGTGAGATCCCTGTGATCTCTCGCCGAAGATCCTCCCTAGGCACCGGGTCGACCGCAATCAGTCGCCGCTCCAGAACTGCCACCCGCTGCTCTAGCTCCCACACATGGTCAGAAAGCAGCAAGAAAGTATCATCCGTGCTTTCCCTCTCGTGAAGCTCAGCAGACGGCTCTGAAGCGGGCTCCGGCTCCATGAGGCCCTCAAGACGCGTGATGAAGAAACTGATCGTTCCTTTCCCAGCTCGAGATCACAATCCTTTGGCGTACACTTGCAAGTGGATGCATGATCCCTTGACGTACACTTGCGAGCAGCAGTAGCACTCTCAACATGAACACGATCGACTCTATGTGTGCACAAATTTTGCAGTCCGAGCAATCACGATTCGCTCGAGCTCTCTCCTGAGGTCTGTGCCTCATCGGCGGTGCTGGAGGAAAAGTCCTCCGATCCCGAAGCATTCGCCTGTGCTGCCTGCTGCCCCTGCTCAGGTTTGAAGCAGTGCTTGCATTGCCAGTCGTAAGAAACGCCCTCCAGCGACTCAAACAACTCACAGTTTGCCACAGACTCAGGCGTGCTGCCGCATCCACCTACACGATGAAGCCGCCGCAGCTTCTCCAAAGAACTTGCATGTATCCTTGACCTCAGGAGTCCTGGCAGGCATCACAAGATCACCAGGCTTGACGCCGTCCCCGCTGCTTTCAGCGAGATGTTGGGCCCGAAACTCGGCCCAGCCCTCCAACGGCCGCAAGAGGTCAAGAGCCCTGTCACGCACCGAGCTCTCGACACCGGCCCTCTGTAGCGCCTGAAACAAATCATCAAGACCTACCTCCAGAAAGGCGGGGTTGCTGCAAAGGTTCTGAATAACATGTCGCTGCAGTGAAGTGACAATGAACCAAGCACTCCGAATGTATTCATCTGAGGCTTCCACGACATGCCACCGCCCCAAGTAGGAACGACGCTCGCGATCGATACCCGACCATGATGCAAGTGTGGCAATAAAGTTTCTCTCGGAATGTTCGGTAAAAGCAGCGACAACACTCGGATCCTCGAAGAGCGCAACATCAGTAAGACGCACACTCCCAGCCTCGGTCAACTCGGGCCGCTTTAGCTCCCACAGGAGCTGCTTGGACATCGTTGACATATCCACATAGCTCGCCATAACTGGCAGGCAGGAGGTCAGTCCCTTTGTAGGCCGAGGCACCAGATAATCCCTGGAGAAGGCAAAACCATCAGAAGCCCAGATCTCATATCCGGCAGCCAGCCAATCGCTACGCAAAAGCCAAGCATCCTTGCAAACAAAGAACGGCAGCCATCTGATGCGTTTGTCAGCTCCCGAGGTTTTCGTTCTATCGAAAACTCCTCGTAGTCCTTGTGAAGACATCGTCATCTGCTCCGGTAGAATGCCCTGAAGGTCATTGGCCCTGCTAGATGTCCATAGTTTCAATAGCCGTGCCCACGCATACGCTCTGACGAACTTCTTATGCGCAGAATTCACAACCACAGCCTCTAAAGACATGACCATGATGAGGGCCAATGCCGGAGCTTGTTTTGTCGGCGGCGCCCCTGCTTCAAGCTCAGCAGTGCGAACCCGAACCAAGTTCCGCACCAGGACGTGAGAAGAGATGGAGGCCTCGACCTTGACTCCTCCGACCCTCTCGAAGAAAATCACTGCAGAGAGCACAGACTGTAGCCTGGTCCTGGCACAAGGTTCCTGCGCCAGCTCTTCCACATAATTCATCAAGATGCCCAGATGCGTGGGGAACACTGTCCCCTCAACAGCGAAAAACCATGCCGAAAACTTGGACCATTCCCTCACGTGCCGCCTTAGAGTGGACGCTCTAAGCGTTCCTGCTGACGCCTCCAGTACAGCTTGGCTATCAAGGGCGTAACTTGCCATTGAGCACACCGGCATACCAGCCCTTTTCAGCTCCTTCGCTAAAGCCTGCCTCCAGCGTCGGAGCTCTGCAGCCTCAGCATCGGCCCTCGCACGATCGTGCTTGGCCAAGGCAAGTTTCTTGGCCAACCGACACGGCCACGCTGTAAGAGACCGCTTTGCACCGGCCCTTGTCTGAAGCCATCCAGTGCTCACTTCAAGCTGCTGCTGAGGCCCAGCTGAAATCGATGAGGACGTTTGCGCCAGCTGACCTTGCACCGCTCTAGTCCTCACGACACGATCTGCAGCCGGTGATACATCAGCGCAAACCTTTTCAAGAATCTCGCATGCACTGAACCATTCAGCTGAGCCCATTGTAAGTCCCAGTGATTCCACAAAATCTTTGATGTCTGAATCATCTGAAAACAAATTCGACAAAATCTCGGGAGAAGGCTGTCGCGACTCCTGATCAAGAGCCTTCTTGACACACTCAGGTAAGTCTTGCCACGACAGACTGGAGTCAGCCTCTTCCTGAGGCTCCTCGTCACCCATCGCGCATGACGATCACTCCGACCCATACACAAATGAGTCCCCCCCTCCCCTTTTGGACTCCGCAGAGCCGAGCCCAAAGGTTCGGACGAATGTTGATTGTCATCGCAGGAGGGAACAACAACCGCACATGAAAAATTCATGTAAAACAAAACACTGTGTGACATGAAAATCAATCCATAAAAGAGTCGAAACTCGACTCAACAAATGGAAAGCATTTTCGATATTGGCACATGAAAATGTGAGCAAGTTATGTTTCTTAATCTCATTTCTGATGGACAAGTCCACCTCACTTTCCTAATCTTTGTACTACTTCTACTTCTGTTTTCGCATGCTCCTGTGAGCCTTTATCTTCTCTTCTCGCACGCTTCTTTGAGCACTTTTGAACATCTTTCTTTTCCTTCTTTTGGTCTTCATCCTCAATCTTCAGATGTCCTATAGCAGATTTGCGAATTTGCTTTCCACACACATTTGGCATGGACTCACTCCACTCTACGTGCACACTCACTTTTTCTGTACGTCGCTGTACGCGAGATAGTCGTAGTCCATCCTTGCCCTTCGGCAATCTGGAAACTTTTGTCGGACTTCTGTCTTTAGTCCTTGTGTAAACATTGGCCTTTTGAATTCATCGTGGTGCTCGTAGTGCTTTGACGTTGCCGTGGGACTTTCGTCCACGTAGCTTTTGACTTCGTCGTTGCCGTGGGATCTTTCCATCCTCGTGGCTTTTCGTAGCTTCTCCAAAGCTTTTGTGAAACGTTTTGCCCTGGCTGTTTTCAGCCTCACTTCCTTGCTGTTGCTGGGCATTTTTGTAAACGCCCTCACTCTCTTTTGCTTCTTTAAACCGCTCTTACATGTCGCCTAGCCCCAAGGGCCCTTGGGTTGCTGCTTCTGTGCTGTCCGGTGTTCCCGGATCAACAGCTCTTGTCATAGTAGCACTTACGGCTTGGACTCGACGCCTGAGTCTCGATCTATCCTCATTGCCATCATCGCTGCGTGCCCTGAATCTTACTCCATCACTTGTGTTTTCTCGTCTGCCTTGACGGAGTCTTGACCTTTCTTCGATCAGTGTGTCAAGGCCTTGTTCCACAAAACTCCAGAACCGGATATTGCACAATGATTCAAGGGTCAGTTTACGGGCTCGATATGCAAAATGCCCGAGAATATGATATGTATTGGAGCCAGCTATAAAAATCGCTCCCGAATATATTCTCGTGACTGCTGACGTGGCACTCTTTTGTTCCAGCACTCGAAAGGGGCTGTTCGAAAGAAAGTTCGAGCACACGACGGGTTGAGCACGACCCGAGTGGTTGCGTTTCCACGAGTGCAGATTGCGGTAGAGAGATTCCGCTGCGTGCTAAGCACCCGATTGCCCCCATAACAAGTGCTGCCACGGAATGTTCTTCGGGAACACCTCTGCACACGCAATGCCCAGAGCTCTGGCCACCTCATCACCTTTCCCCCTTGAGGGTCCGTCAGCAATGTTTGATTTTGACGGTACTCGAGCGTACCACGCATAAGAGACTCTGTTGTCCTCCAAGCGGCACAGCTCGCGCAACGTGCGATCCATGATCATCGACTTGCTCACGCCTTTCACAAGGGCCAAGCGAGCAGGCTCGTTGTCTATCCAATAGACAACTCTCCTGCCCTCCAAGCGCTCCCTGCACACAAGCTTTGCACAGAAGATTGCATACAACTCGACTTGGCAGATCAAGTGCTCGTTTGCCTCGTTTCGCCATGCTTCTTTGAGCTCGGGCGGGAGCTCACCTTGCAACACCCGCGTGAAGCCGTCGGCCGAGTCGATCAGTACGGCTCCTATGCCAGCGAAATCGCCTTCAAGAGATCCGTCAGTGAAGACGTGTACCACCTCCTTGCGATCAGAAAGTGCCACCTCCCGTGGACGAGCACTGCCAAGAAACTCCAAAGCCCGATCGCACAGCTTCGCGAACTCCTCAGGAGACGGAAAAGCTTCAGCGTGAACTATCCTATTCAAGTCAGCGCAGATGTGATTTAGCGACATGCCCACACAGGAGCCTGCCGCAAAACGCAGCAGCCCCAGCAACACTTGGCCAAAATGCTTTGTTATCGACCCTTCGGCTTTGACCTTGCCAAACATCTCCACCAGCCGCTCGATCCTTCCCGGCTTGTTGGAGATCGAGAGCTTTCCAAGGTGGAGCCGTTCCACGCACATTTTGAGTCCTAGGACACTGCAAGAAGCATCGAAAGGTAAGCCTTTGGAACCTGCCCCTGTCTCGGCATATCGAATGCCAAGCAGACTCAGCATGCGGCCGCACGCCTCGTCGGTAGCCTCAGCCATGTCTTCGCGAGCCAGCATCGGGTAGTCATCATAGAAGTACGAGCACACCACGTTCAAGACTTTCGTGAACAAGAAGTGGATGGCACGGCTTATACGGTTAAAGCTAAAAACGCTGGCAGCGGCGCCAAACATTAAGGCGTTCGCCACATACCAGGTGGGCTTCCCCTTTTCGTCGAAAATGACTATAACCGAAAGGCACCTATCCCGCTCGCTTACACAAAATTGTTTATAGGCTTTTGACAAGTCCAGGCATTTGACCTTCCAAGGGACGTGCACAGCCAAATCTCTTTGCATCCTTGCAACAGCCAGTGCCATGGCTGTGAAATAAGCGCTGTCTTGGAGCCTCAAACGGATGGCCGTCCCGTAAGCATCGTTAAGATGAGCTTCATGGCCGTCATCTATGGGACGCTTCTTGTCAGATTGCTCAATGAGGAACCTTCTCACGGCCACCCAATCCTGGGTCCCAAGGTGGCGGGAAACCGCTTCCTCGGACTCGAATGGTCCCGAGAGGAAACCCTCCGCCGTCTCCTCATCAGTGATCTTCCGCAGCTCCTGAGCCTCTTCCATCGAGACTCTCCTGGGATTCGCAAGGATCGCACGCCTCAAGTCAGGGGCTGCTGCCCTCAGGGCCTCGGGCGAGAGCTTTGCAAGTCTGATGCGGGTCTCGAAGCAGTCAGGCTTCGGAGCGGACCCCACCAGGTGTGAGCCGTCGCTCACTAGGTCCACGACTCCCATGTCGTCGAAACCATGCTGCGACAAGAGATCACGCAGCAAGAGAATGCGTTTTCCCCGAAGGACTTTTTGCATCCAAGGCGGCTTTGACTCATGCAGAGCCTTCTCCTGCGGTTCAAGCTGCTTGGCCCGTATCTCCATCTTTGTCAAGGCAATCTTTTGCTTAAGCTTAAGCACCTTAGCCTCCGAAGTGAGATTTTCCTTTATGGCCGTCAAGGTGGCCTCATGCAAAGGATTGTTTGAATCCATAGGATGCGGCAGCTTAAGGGCCTCTTTTACCCACACTTCGGGACTACGATAAACCCCAACTGTAACCAGACCTGACCCTACTCCAAGCTCGTTTCCCGCGGGCAGCTTTGGGTCACGCAAGGGGTGAGGGACTAAACCAGAAGAGCCAAGTGAGGGGTCAGGGTCACCCGTACTAGGCTTCGAGTGCGCAGCATCACCCAAAGGCACCAGATCAGAGGGTTTCGCCAGGTCCCCCGTCTTCACCCCAATCATTGGGGCCGAGAGAACCCTCATGCACGACTCATCAAAGCTTGACTTGGGCACTTGCTGGATGGTCGCAAACTCCGAAAGGAGAGGCTGGCTCTTCCTATGCTGCAGGCCCTGCGCCGCCAAGGCAGCGTGTTGCACGTCCAGCGGGCGTGGGCAGAGACGGAGGCCGGAGGCCTCGGCATGGGCGCCGAATCGAGCGGCCAAGGCTTGCGAAAGCTGCACGGGATAAGCAGCTTCAAGATGAGTGGCGAAGATCCAGCCATGCGGCCCCCGCTGAGCCCCCCAGGGGGCGTGATCATGTGAGTGATCGCAACGTGCACACAAGTCTGCCATTTGCTTGCAATTCGTGAGCAAACGTGTGGTCTTGGGCCTAGAGCCGCCATACATGCAATGATCGAACTCCACCTGAAAAGTTCTGTGGCTGAAGCGGTGCCAAGAGGACTCAGGACGGGCGCGCGCCAGAGCAGCAAAAACCGCCCAGAAATGGCTGTTAGCAGGATTCTCAAGTGTGAAAGGCACCGCGTGTTCGAGCGCCCAGCAGACCAGGTTGAAGGTGAAGAGGTACAGGCAGTTTGCCTGCTGCACTCGTCGGTATTGCGGGGATGCCTTGTCAAGGCCAGGCAGTCCCAAGGGGTGACGTGAGGATCGCAAAGGTTTAGGCTCTCGAACCCCTTTGTTAAGCAGCGAGGCGGGAAGAGGGCGTTCCCGAGCGCGGCTTGCGGTGCCGCACGGCGGCGCGATGTGCAATGCATCAGGCGGGGTCGCTCTGAGGCGGTCCATGAGCAGCTCTTGTTGGTTCTCTTGCGTGAGATCCAGGCGCACCGTTGGCATGAGAGCGGCGCGCGGGCGGTGATCAACCGCAAGCGTGGCGAAGCCAGCTGCGAAGAAAGCCCGAGACAAGATGGCGGTGCCGCTGAAGACCTCCACTGCAAAAGGCTGGCGGCTCAGCTTGTGGATAGAATGCTGACACGCGGCAAAGCCCAAGCTGGAAGCGAAGGCAGCATCAGCGGTCGACAATTTGTCGATGAAATTTGTGGTGTATGCAACTAACACTACACGGCGGCCAGACCATGGTAAGGTTGCATGCAGGGCCGATTGGGCTGAGAAGACAGCAGGGCGAGGGAGCGTTGGCAAAGCATCACCAAGCAGCCTCTTGCCATTCACTTCCAGGGGCGTGAGGCCCTGATCATTCTGGACCCAGACTTCGCCACCTGAGTAATCGGACAGCCCGAAAACGGCATTTCGAGCTGACTCCATGTTGTGAGTGTCACGATGCGCGACTGTGCAAACGCTGTCAAGGATGACCACTGCTGAGAAAGAGTGGCCAGGGCACCCCTCCAAAATAAATCGAGTGAAAACTCTAGTGCTCAAAGGGAAAATTCGGCAATTGTTACGCAGACCCACAAGGTTCCCATGCACCCAAGTACCGGTTCCGAAGGAAAAACCTCCGGCTTCTGCA